ATATCTTCAAATTATTAATCAAATTATGATATTTTTATCATAAGATTTTTATATGTTAAGAGCAATAGCCCTTGCTTTGTCACTTCTATCTAATGCACAATTGAATCTTTCAGAATACTAAATTTTGGAATATTTAGAAATTTTTTGATCAAAGACCTTGCTGATAATATAGAGAAGGCTATTTAGATTGATTAGAGAATAGTTCGAGGGATTAGAATGTATATGTTTGGCCGAAACCAAGCAAAAAGAAATTTAATTGAAGGAATAAAGTTACGTGATAGTACTTAATATTACGTAATACTCCACAAAATCAACCAACCATTGCAAAGTCTCTCTTATGACAGAAAAATATCGTTTACTTGGACTGATAAGCATAGCAATGATTATCGAAAACATTTAGAAAAATTAGCTAGTTATTTATAAGAAGGTAATCATATCATGGAAAAAAATTGAAAAAATGCGAAAAAATGAGAAAACAAAAAAATAAATCTTGTTTTCAAAAATACAGATGTCGCAATATATAAATGGTGTTTTATTTAGAAACACTTCAATATTTTCAAAATTTTAACGCTGAAAATAAAACTAAAAATATTATTTAAATTGTTACAATATTAATTGGAAGAAAATAGGAGAAAAACGGCGTTGTCAAATTTAAAAAGTTTTGAGAAAGTATATATTTATCATTTATAAAAATCTTTTTATAAAATTAGGGGAAAATTAGAAAAATCTTTTTATAAAGTAATCTTTAGATAAATTAATCAAAAAAATTTTTTTTGATCTTTGCTTTGTATAAAAGCATTTATAAGTGATCAATATATACTTTTACAAAGCTTTTTAAATTTTTCCCGCGTACTCTTCATTTGATAATACTAAAGTTTTTCAACAATTTTGTTATCAATTTGTAATATTTGTACCTTTAAAATTCTTTTTCTTTTTTTTTTTTTTTGAAAATATTTTTTTTAATTACATTTTTAAAAAGCAATCTAATATATAATGACCCAGGTCACGGATTCCCTGATTTCGTAATGCTGTAATACTACTTAGCGGTTAGTTATATTAATAAAAATAAATTCTTTTCATCAAAATAAATTTCTTTTCTTTAATTAATCAATCAGTTTAGACGTCATAATCCGGGAAAACATTTTAATGACGTAATTTAAAAAAACTCGAAATTTCATTTCACGACGTAGTTAAATAATCATTTATTTTATTATAAATATATATAAGAATATATTTGTATGATTTCGAATGAATATAATCTTTATTCTAAGTAAATTATTTTAAAACAGTTATTATGTTACGATAGTTAGATAATTTTCATTACGAAAGGCAACTGTTAAAGTTTCATATTAATAAGATATTCACAAAATAAAGTTTAAAATAAATAAAATTTTCTTAAGAAATAAAAAACCAAGGCCGACGACACGGGTTTTGAAATAGAGGGGGGGGGGGGGGGAGTGCAATCATCATTTTTTGAAAAAAGTCCTCTATATCTTTAAAAAAAAAAAGGTTCTCTAAAACTAAAAAAAAAGTGTGTGTGTGTGTGGGGGGGGGGGGGGGGAAGAGGGCGCATGCCCCTGGCCCCCCGGTGTCGTCAGCCCTCAGGCTTTCTAGCTTAAACTTAAAGATAAATAATTTAGAATTACAAACATTAACACAATTAAAAAAAAAAAATTTAAGCTTTATTTCAAAGTTTTGATTAACAATTTACAAATCGTTAAATTTACACGTTTTATTTAATGCAGTGTTTAAAAAAAAAGAAGCAATTTAAAAAAATTACTTTTTAAGTTTTTGTTCAAAAGAGTGATATCTTTGCTCTTAAGAAAAGTCTTTATAAAAAAATTTTATTTTAAAGTTCTTTGAAACGAAATTCAATATTATCTAAAATCAGTTTCATAAACTGACTCACAAATATTGCTATCATTTTGTAAATGGTACTTATTTTTTTATTTTTCATCATACAAATTATGAAAAGGTACAGGGAATAGATTGTTTATACATTTTAACATAGTCATTAGTACTAACCCCATGCATTTTTAAGAGTTTGTTTGTCTTAAACGAATCAGAAGCTTTTAATCCCATAGAAACTCCACAGGTTATAATAAGTAAGTTTACTGGTAATAACACATCAACCTATACAAACTGCTTTTATTCATTTAAATAGTTTTTAGGCCAATTTAAAACACTACAGTAAATCTTTAGTTTGTTTAAAAGATTTTTGTCGATTTGGGGTATCGAAAGCTAAATTGTTAAAAATCCTAACTGTAAAACTGCACTGAAATTATACTGAATAAAAACGCCAATTATTCGGAAATGTTATACCACTTGTAAACTATAGAACTCCTTTTTTTTTAAACTACATTGATTGCATTTTATTTAATTGTTCTAAAATGAATGATTATAAACACTATTATATAAAATTCTTTCCAAGCTTTTTGAAAATACAGTTTATACAGTTGCTAACAATAATTAAATCTCCTCCTTCAACTATTGTAAACTATTTTTAGTTGGTTAGGAAAAATTTCTAATAAAACAAAATTTTTTTTTTTTTTTTTTTTGTTCTTTTATCTTTATAATGTTGTGATTCTACATGATTGGTACAAAGTTATAATGTTTTTAAAATATATAATACTAAAAATATATCACAATTTTATAGAATACAAAAAATATGATTGTAGGGTATCATTAATATTAAAAGAACGCGGGAAACTTGCAAAAGACCAGATGGTCTTGTCATCAAGAAACCGCTTGTACTTGTAATATTTTTTGTATTTTCGTTTTACAATGTATCAAGTTTCACAAAATACTTCATTTTATATTAGGTTCACATATAATAAAATGTAGAAATAAAAATTTGGTAAATACTGTTTGTAGTACACATAATACACATAAATATATTATTAAGCATAAATATAATTTTTATTGACTTATATTGATTTTTTTATTAATATATATTATTAAAGTTTTTTGGATTTTGTTTTCAATTATAATTTTGGTTTTTTTAAGATTTTCAAACAATTTATGTTATCTATTTTTGTAATAATGGCATTTTTGGATATCAGTTTATTATAAAGATAGGGACCGCGAAACGAAATCGTGAAACGCGACAGTTTTGTTTTTCTGAATGGTACATTAAAGTTTCCTACTTCTCTAGTGTCATATCTATTTTTATTGCTTTTTAAATATTCATTAAAGAAATGTGGTGGGACAAGCCCGAGTTTAAATTTTAGCATGAAGAGTAAGTTTTGGTAAATGTTAATTCTATAGACGTTTAGTGCATTTAGGAGTTTAAACAAAGGTTCAGCATGAGTGAGTTTATCTTTTTTATAGACAAATGGCATGTTTTTGATGTTGATAAAGTGATTTTAAATTAGATTTATGGGTATTATATATGGTATGGGTATTATATATTTATAACTTCGAATGATTTAATACAATATTTTCATTAGTATCATCCGAACCTACTGATTTGTTGGGTTTTAGCATTTTAAAAACTCATTTAAATTCTTCTAACAAATTAAATTTTGATATATCTATCTATCTATTTATCTCTCTCTCTCTCTCTCTCTCTCTCTCTCTCTCTATATATATATATATATATATATATATATATATATATATATATATATATATATATATATATAATTTTTTATAAAATGAATATACAAATTTTTCATAAAATGAATAGATATTCACTTTCAATAACATAACTTATTATAATTTTAAGCACAGTTTTATTAAATTTTTATAAAAATGGCACGGTTTCTATCACTAAGGACAAGCAAAACAACAACAAAAAAGGGATAACTTGCATTTATTGCGTTTTAACATGTCTAGACTGCTAGAAACTATGGAGAACATCCTCGTGTAGTTAAACAATTTAAATAAAAATGTTTATATCATGCTTTAGGGGCCTTTTCTTAGATACTAATCTTTAGGCTGCAGAGCATTCACGTAATCAATTAAATCTATCTGTTTACTTCAAAATTTATTTCAATTAAACTACCCAGCACTACTTTATTTTCAACAGCAACGGGGAAATTTATTTCTTAACGATTTTGTTAATTGCTTTGTTAAAAATTATGTATATATAAAAAAGTTAAAATACTTAAATTTGAGTCACACCTCCGAAGGTATTAAGTCTATAATTTGCGATTCTATAAAAATGCCAGTTTTTTATCCTATAAATAATCATATATCAACTTTTTAAAGTCAATTAAGGATCTAAATGCGGCTGAATACGCCTGTCCAGTTATCTGATGGTACTAAATTTAACGTTGTTAAATCATAGCTATTTGAAAATTTGTTTGTAGGTGAATGTTTAACGGGAGAGTCTATTCGCACGCACGTGTGAATAGATTATATCTTATTATAGTCTATTCACACGTTTAAAAAAAGATTAGATTTTTTAATACGAAATCTCTCACAAACAAAAGATTTTTATAACTTAATTTATATATTTTGAAAGCAATTTTTTTAATCAATTATAATAAAAATAAATAAAATTACTTAAACGTAAATTAAATTTTAATTCAAACAAAAACGTACTAATAGATACAATAAACATTAAGAAATACTTCTTTTTTTAATTAAAAGATTGCCTGCCCAAGCCAAAACCCTCGACTTTACATTTATACTACACTGTGCCTATCCCTAGATAAGCAGTCAATATGTATATACACTACGGTGCGTATATCCTTCAAATGTCTGTCAACGTAAGTACTGCGTTAGTACTACACTGCACTAGTTTAATTTTAAACTTAAAAACCAATATTAATAAATCTAATTTTTTTTTAAATTCTCTTTAAATTCAATGATCTTTATCTTTTTTTTTTTAATTAAACGTGCGAATAGACTATATTTAGACACTCCGATGTTTTTTTTTACCCTAAAATAAAATAAGTTTTTTTTTACCCTAAAATAAAATAAGTTGTCTAAACAAATTTCTCAGATTTAAACAAATGCGCTGAAGAGAAAATCAAAACAACAAAACTTATATATAAATGCTATAAAAAATTTATATTTAAAAAATAATCACGATGCATAAAAATTTACAAATCATAACAAAAAAAAAATTTTTTTTTTTTCATTTTAAAATTACAAATTGACTTATTTATAAACAATTAATTTTAAATTTTTTTTGTTAAAATTATTTTTATTTAGGCTTATTCGACAATGGCGGCGGCGGAGGAGGAACCTTTTGTTTTGTACCTAAAAATGGAAGCGGGGGTGGCGGAGGAGGTACTCCAAGGGTTGACGGTGATTTTGCTAAATGTGAGTTCCCGTGAGCTGATACAAGTGGTTTATTTCCAGCTATACTGTGCAATGATTCTGAAGTTTTTTCCACAGGTAAATTATTGACTAGAGGCAAGTATTGATCATCTAATTTCTTAATTGTCTTATGTCCAGGAGCTGGTTCAAATGAAACAATTCTATTGTCAATGATCTGGTTTGTTTTGTGTGCAGTTGAAAGTGCGCGATTAGGAAACTCAAAAGTAATCGGTTGGTTCGTAGGAGACATGATTCCTTCAGAACTTATCGGAGAGAGTGGAGTTTGCGCAGTAAGTTCATTGTTCTATGAAAATCAAACATTAAGATAAAAAACATAACTAAAAAAGTGAATTTAGAAATGTTGAAACTTTTTTTGATTTTTTTAAAAACTGAAACCGGTAGTTGTTAATCTGTTTTTAAATTTAATATTTTTTTATCCAATTTTTCATTAATTTTACGGTGTTAGTATGTTTACATAAAAACGCCTCATTTGTTGTCTGTCAAATAAGATTAAAGATTTGAAAACAATTATGAGTAAAATTTTAAAAGATCATAAACAGAAACATCCGAAGCATCCGAATTTTTGAATCCAATAAATGAGAGCCGAATCAAAAAAATAAAAGAGCATTAGAGAGATGAATCACAAAATAAAAATATAAAAATTGATTGATAATAACAGCTTCATTATTTTTAATAAGTTTTCAAAAGTATAGTAAAAGCCAAATTAATACTTTATGATAGTTTTCAAAAATCTTATATTATGTAAATTAATTACGATAAAAAATAATATAATAACAATGACATTGTAATAAGGAGCACATTTTAGATAAAATCTAATAACGATAATCATAATATTTATTACCAACAATAATTAATCATAATAATAATAATAACATAATAATAAGGTATACAATTTAGATTGAACCGTTTACTCTTTTTTTTTAAAGAAACCAAATGAAATAAAAGATTTATCGGTTTTAGGGGGTATCCATAAAGTACGTACGCAGTAAAACCAATAATTTAAGATTCCTTTCTCCTTGTACGCACTAAACAGCACGCCGGCTCCCCCCTTCTTCTGCGTAAGTGTGCATTATTTACTACAAGATAAACCCCCTTTCCCTAACGCATAAATTTTTCAAAATATTAAAAACAAAAAAAAACTTTTAACTAATTTAGTAATAACAGAGTTAAATATTACTTTTTAAAACTCTTAAAATTCAATTATTTTGTTAAAAAAAAAAAGAAAAAAGAAATCAAGTTTTATGGAGAAATACAGAACGAGAGATCAAAGTTAAATCACGTACGTACTTGCTGTCCTAAACCTCCTTCCTTGTATGCATTCGTATGTTTTTTACAACCCCCCTTCTCCCATACCAACGTATGTACTTTATGGAAAACCCCTTACTATTATGCATCAAAGTTTTTTTGTGCTTATTTTTATTTATGCAAAAACTCTCTTTCATATTCTTTAACTTTTCTTATTTTAAATTGCGTATTTTTTTATTATTTTGTCAAGGAGTTTTTCCTAAAAATAATTACCTGAAGCTCTGCAATTCCTTTAACCCAAGCACCAGAAAATAATTCTGCCAACTTGCCTCGTTTTCCTTTTAAACGCTCTTGTTCGTTAGACACATTATTCGAAACTAAATATATATGCAATTAAAGCCAATACAAAAAGTAAGTTTATTCCCTAAGACAACTGTCCCTATTTGAATGATGAAATATATATACAAAAACAATAAGTATAACTCAAGTATAACGAATCAAAAACACAACCTAACGCAACAGATTTATATAAATATAGAAAACAAAATAACTGTAATAAAAATGGATAACTCACTTCGAACAGTTTGCTGTTTATTTTGAATTTTTTTTGAAAGCTATAAGCAATGTACACTTTAAAATAAATATTACAATAAAAGTTATAATAAGGAAATATTTATAAATATAATTTTTTTTAAATAACTTTTATGCAGAATGTTTTAGAAGATTTTAATGGGTTACCTACCAAATCTGTTTTAGAAGTATTTGATAGTTCGACCATGGCTACTTCACTGGGTGTACTTCCCGGCAATAAAACACTTTCAACTGCTTCTTGGGTTTTTAAATAATCTTCATATATATTGTAACCATACTTAAGTCAAATTAATTATAAAAAAATATATATTCCAATACAAAACAAATATAAAACAAATATATTACATACAATAAAAATTAGTAGCACTCTTAAAATCTGAAAAATCATATTAATCATTCAAGATAGTAAACATTAATCAGAACTTCGCATCTTCGTGACTTGATCTGCTATAAATTTGGGTTTTCTAACAGCAGTCCCTCGACCTCCCCTAATCCTCACTACTTATATTATTCTATTTTTTCTATATTGTATTTTAATTCTTCACAAACTAATTCGTTATTTTTTTAAAAAGCATTTTCAAACTATAAAATCTTATAACTTTTTTTTTGCTTGCAACCTTTTTGGAAGTGAGTTTATTGTTGTTGTTTATTAAAAACAACAACAACAAAAACGGCTGTCGTTGCTCTTTTAGTGCATTCATGCAATTTTTTAATGACTAAATCTAGCACATGGAAGCATGGAATTACTAATAAAGTCAAAAAAATGTTTCCCAAAGCTTTTTTGTTTTAGTTTTTTGCATTTTGTATGGCCGTGACTTCCAATAAAACTTTTAATAAAAAGCTGAAAACTGAGAAATTATTTTCAAAGCTTTCAAGAAATTGTTTTCAAATTCAAAGCTTTGAAGAGCTTTGAATTTGAAAATAGTTTGTGCCTGTTAATCTAATCTTGTTTAGTATTGGAAATTCAAAGTTTTTTGCAAAGTTTTAACAATTTAAAATCTTTATTTTAAAAATAGAGTAAACAAACAAATGACATAAAGGAATTTACATTTTATCCAATTTTAGAACTTTCAAAAAACTTTTTAATAAACCAGAAATTAATTATTTTGTTTTCAAATTAAAGATTCTGCTTATTTAAAAAAAAATGATTTAGTAGTAGTTTTTTTGATTTACAACCAAAAGTGTTTTTTAATTTTGTTAATATTGCTTTCATAATTTTGTTCATATTGCTTACATTTTTAACGTTTACACTAACAATTAGAACTACAGTAACAATCATCAGGTGCTTGATTTTTCCAAAGTTCAGAAAAAACATTAACTCTGACAAAATCAAATCCTTTGCGCCGTTGCTTTATTTGTTAAGTGGTTCTTTAAAATTAGAACAAGGGAAGGATGAGCTATGACTGCTCTTTTTTGATTAAAAAGACTTCTAGCAGAAGCAAAATCGATCAAAAAATAACAAAGAAAAATCCCGGTACTGTTCCAAATGAAAAAAAAAATCTTCAGTTAGTTATTGGTCAAGTTTGCAGTTTGATCATTATAATTAAATAATTAACTTTTTTAACCACTTCCTGGTAAGCATTGCAACCCTGTTCCTTTCACTGCATGATCTATTATACTAATTAATGTAAATTATGGTAATTTATGTAGATTTTGTATGCTAATTTTAATCTATAAAAAGTTCATGTGAATTTTTTTGTGATTATTACTTTTAAGATAAAGTTAAAGACATTCAAGACATAAGAGTTACTTGAATAATTCACTTTCATCATTTTCACTTTCATATTTTTTTTATTAATTGATGCCTAAATAAAAAATGCAACATACTATTTTGTTATTTTCATGTGCATAATGTGTTTAATTTTCATGTGTTCATAAATGTGTTCAACTTTCATATTTATAAATGTGTTCAATTTTTATAAGCACAAATGTGTTAAATTTTCATGTGCATATTTCATGTGTTCAATTTCAATTTAAAGTTTTTTTTTTGTCTGTTGTTTTATCACACACACCTTTACAACCAATAATTATAGTTCAAGGCAATAAATTTTATCTGTAATTTTAACTAGAAATTTTTATTTAAATATTTATGATTGCTGCGGGAAAAGTATAATCAAGTACCATTTAAATATCAAATTTTTCTTTTCGAAAATTTTTATGAAAGTTAAAACAGAGTTTTCATTTTTCAAATATTATTTTGGCATTATTTAAAAATATGTATACTAAAATACAAAACATTATTACAAAACACATGTATACCTTTGCCATGCGAATGCCAACAATCCATTGAAACATCTGTTTGTTATCTTCGGCACAAAGACAGTAAATGTGTTTTGACTTTATTGTTTGAACTTTTGGGTGCTACAAAAACAAAGTTTTATTTCATTTTATAAAGAATCAGATGTTATTATACCCAAGGAAGGAAACCAAAGAAAAATCAGCATTTCTTGGTATATCTCCAAAAATAATCTTTTCATAGATTCCCTCGACTTAATTTTAGGTCTTAGAGTAAACATTGAAATAAATATTACTATACCTAATACAAAAATGAATAGAGATAAAGAAAAATTAGTAACATTTTTGAATAAAAAACACACTGCTGTATGCATTGGATCATTATCAGAATATAAAAATTCTAAACTGTTGAAAATTTTTGTCAAAATATCAATATTTTGGAAGCAGCAGATTGTAAAATTTTTCTTTATAAGTCTTTCTCTGCAAATTTTACTGAATAAATAACTTCCAATGAATCATGTCTATTAATAATGTTATATTCAAGCAAAACAACCAATGCTAATGATGCAGCTGAACAATGCTGCAACTATCTGATATTCCTCATCAATCACATTTACAATCTATTGTTGGTAGAAGAGTTATCATTTAAGAATTCAAGATTTCTTGTGAGTATTAGTTGATGATGACTTAAGTCAGACCTTTCTTGACAGCTTTATCTAAACAGTCATTGCAATTACATCAGAAGTTTATATCTGATTTTGATTTCAAAGCTTCAACATTTTGTTTCACATTTATAAAATACAAATTCATCATATTTCTTTTCATTATTTTTCCTGCTGTTTATTTATTTTAGTATCAACGCTGCCAAATTTTGATTTTCCTTTTATGTTCTTTAATCTAGAATCTTTTATTTAATTTCACAAGAACATTTCAAAAAAGTTTTAACACTTATATGAGAAAATATAAAAAATGTGATTTGAGTTATTTTTGAATTGTTCAGATGCAACTGCATTCTTGAATCTCTGATTAAATGATTTAAGAAGTGTACAATATTTATAATGGTAAGTTATTACTTGAGATAGAAGAGATATGCTGATGGGATTAGGAATTGATGCTTGGTGCCATATTGACCCAAGATCAACAAGATCAATTTTCTGGTTGTTTCATTAATTATAGAATCTTTAGGATGGTCAGCAGACAATAGAACCTGTCATTTCCACAAAGACACAAGTCTAAAACTTTAACATAAATTTAAATTAAAAATTTCTGTATGATTTATGTTATTTTTTAAAAAATAAAACTTACATTAGTTATACATTTATCTATATATGTTATTTATTTATCTACTCCTATGTTTAATTACTTTAGCAGCGTAGAAATTATTTTAATAAAAATCGTGTTTTTGTTGATTTTGAAAAGTTTTGATATATGGAATTGTGTCATTTTCAAAATGACAGTTGCAATTCTTTTCTTACTAATGTTTTTAAACTATACTCAAATTTACAAGATACTAGGTATATTTCAGAATAAAAATTTAAAAACTTGAAAAATTAAAACCTTGATGCAAAAAACATTGTCAGTTGGTGCTTTAAAGCGCTTCTTGAAAGAAATGCCAAGATAAACATTGTTATGTTCAAATTGAACCAAACAAATCAAATCTCTAAACTAAAAAAGAAATTTAAAGAAAAACATATATATCATATAAATATATGTCACTGGGGGTCCAGGGAAAAGGATCCTTTTTTTTTTATTTTAAAAAAATTCTAGATATAGAAGACTTTTTTTAAGAATTGATGATTGTGCCCCCCCCCCCACCACTTCAGAACCTGTGTCGTCAGCCCGCCCTATATATATATATATATATATATATATATATATATATATATATATATATATATATATATATATATATATATATATATATATATGAATGTAATAACATCTTGTATGAGAGTATATTTCATATTATTTAAAAAAAAATCATGAAATACAGTTTCTCTCAATACTAAAATTTTTATTATTTAAGAAACTTTGGCTGGGTTTAGGATATCAGAATTATCAGCTTATTGAATAATTCTTGGTTAAAAACTAATGCAATATTTAATAAGCTGATGATGCTTGTATCTATCCCAGCAAAAAGTACTTAAATAATAAAATTATTAGTATTGTGAGAAACTGTATTTTTTAATGTTTTTAAAATAATATATATATATATATATATATATATATATATATATATATATATATATATATATATATATATATATATATATATATATATATATATAATATATAATTTTTCATTACTTACATCACTAAGATGCAGAAGTTCTTAGCTTATAGAGTTTTAAAATACCTTTTGTTTTCCTTTTGGTGAGTAGTAAAGTCCTGATGCACGAAGAGCAAAGTAATACTTTGTCCATTTTTTAACTCCTTCCCTTAACCATAAATAACCTTCAATTTCAGGGATTCGAGTACTATCTTTCTTAAAAAACTCCTAAGTCAAATAAAATTGAACTGATATTATTTCACATACTTGAAACTCACTATAAAGTAAATAATAGTAAAAAACCATATTAAAAGAAAAAGAAATTAATAAAAAGTTACTATAAATATATATATATATATATATATATATATATATATATATATATATATATATATATATATATATTTATATGAGAATAATCAGGATTTCTCCTAATTTTTCTGTAGGATTAACAGGATTCTTCCTGATGATCCTGATAAAAGTGACATTTATAATATTATTATTGCTCTATTTTTTAAAAACAATATGAACTTTTTTTGTAGAATACATTAACACATTATAGATGTATATATATATATATATATATATATATAATATATATATATATATATATATATATATATATATATATATATATATATATATATATATGTATAAATGAATATTGCTTTTTAAGATATAACTCACAATTACTACCTTAGCATTTGTTATACATCAATATTATATTGAACTTTACCACAACAACAACATAATAAGTGAGTTGTCATGAGAACACTAAAGCTGTAGGAAATAATCAACTTAATAAATTTAATACAAAGGAAATAAAATAAAATTTAATTGGAATAAAGTTCACAACAAAATTAAAGTTAACAGCTAAAGATGTTTTAATACTTAAGAAAATATTTTATTTGTTATTTGAAAAATCTATTATTAAAATCATTTAGCACTTAAAATCTTAGCTTTAGATTTATTCTCTTAAGCTTCATTAAAATTAAATTTCATCTTATCACATATTTAATTTCCCTGTTGATAATTTTCTATTGTTAATGCATAGTCTTAAAAATATTATTGATGTGTTGTCATGACAACGCTTTAATAATATTGCTTGTGTTTCGAAAATAAAACCATTGCTGACTCTGATTGTTAAAAACATAAACTATATAATTTCAAATTTTAAATTATTTTTCATTATATACTATAATATTTTAATAAATAATATATTTTTAATATTATTAACATTAAAAAGTTAAATAATACCCATTAAATTAGCTTATATACTGTCAGATATACTTTAAAATATAAACTGTTTTTTAAACACATTTTTCTTTCTTATGCAGAATAACAGAAACTAAAGTGTTGTTAAAAAAATAAACTGATTAATGTTTTCAATTTTATATTTATTCTTCATCACTATTACACAAAAAATAACTTAAATAAAACTGAAACTTCTTGAAAATCAGAATATTGAAATTGATTTTAAATACTGTTTTCCGTAAGATGACGATGTTAAATTTTCACAGCTTGGTTTTAAAGGGTTACTTTCTTGACCCTCTTTTTCAAAAATTGTAAAATAGTCTGTTCCTTGAAATGATAGTCTTTTGCTTTCTATAGGAAGTAAATTGTTCCAGCTATTGCTTTTTATGTTTTTTGATTCTTCTGTGAAACAACTATAGTCTTTTTCATAAACGTCTGAGTTATTGCGCTTAAAATGTTGAGGTTGCAAAGACATTTTTTTATTTTGAGACTCTTTTCGTTTTTCATTGCAGTTAAATGCTATAGATTTTTTCTTTAATGTAAATTTTGAAGTAACAGATTCTTCTGAATTGGTATTAGGAGACTTTTGGTCATCAGTTTGAATTAACTTTTTTTGGCTTAAAGCTCCTAAAGATGCAATATCTCCAACACTTACACTCTTTCTACGACTATACAAGTTATATGTCAAACTATATAGACTGCTTTCGGAGTCAACTGATTTATCCCCTGTGGGAGTACTTATATCTAATTTATTACTAATTAAAGAATGACGATTAGAACCTCTCCATTGTGGTACTGGATAAATTTTACTTGGATCCTCTTCTTCAATAGAATCTTTTACAACAACAGAGGATTTTGGTTGTTTAATAGACATTGAACGAGAATATATAGGCACCTGATAATTCTCTGGCACAACATCAGTACGCAATGTTGTATGGACAATATCAAGTTTTGAAGGTTTAGCTTTTTTTTGAAATTCTGTTTGACATCTTGCACGCAAGGCTGGCTTTAGAAATTGTTCTGATTCTATGACACTTTGAGAAGTTAATAGTTTATGTTTTTCTTGAAATGTGTCTAATGTGCCTAAGACTAAATCATTGGAACTTAAACTTTTTTTTCTTATATTTAAGGATTGGTCTAGAAAAACTGGATCAGGAATGGATCCTCCCTCTTGAAAAAACTCAGTTTTTTTTAATGTTGGCGATATTACTCTGCTGCCATAAGTATCTTTACTGTAAATATCTGATTTCGATGATTTCCTGGATGATTCTTTCGAATCATTTAAATGTGATGGTGCTAAAAAATCATTATGATTTTCTGAATACAAATTCTCAGATTTGATGCTGTGTAAGCTAGTATTGCGTTTTAATTTTCGAAATGAAGATCTTATAATATTGTTAAACCTATTTAAAGATGGTGATTTCCGTTGTTCAAGTCTAGCAATTTTACGCCTCCGTTTCTCCATCTTCTCATCAGAATTATCATAATTATGAAACAAACTCGGTGGCTTATGGTACTGAATCTTCTTTTCAACATCATTAAGTTTTTCGTTGTAAACATACTTACCACTATATTGAGCACTTCCCAAGTCATCAGAATTACCAATAAATTTTGATTCTTCTATTAAACTGTCCATAATAGCATTAATTTTAAGACAGGTTTTTGCAGAAACATCATGGACTAAGTAACACCATTGATGAACAGACTTTTTTCGCATGTGTTCTTTTTTTGATTGTGTTTTCTTTAAATCACATTTATTTCGAACAACAATTATTGGCAGTTCAGTTGAATGTTTATTTTTTACATTGACAATAAGTTTTCGTAAATCAACCATTTTGTTGAAGCTATCAGGATCATCAGCAGAGTAAACTAATAAAAAAATATCTGCTTGTCTAATAAAAACATCTTGCATTGAAGGAAAAGCATGTAAGCCTCCTAAATCCATAAACTGAATTGTCACATTATATTCATCTATCAAAAGATCTTTTTGATAAACATCGTAACACGTAGGAGCATTATTTTGCAGTAAATCCTCACAATCACACAACTTTCTAATTACAGACGTTTTTCCAACTCCACTTTTTCCCATCACCAGTACTTTAACAGTCTTTGTTTTCATTGGATCAGAATAAACTTGCTTTGTTCTATGAAACAAGTATTTGAACATCTTCATGTCTATAAAATGCATTTAAAAAACTATCCAAACTGTTATCATATATAATTTACATTAACACAGTAGAAGTATTTAAAAAAGTTCAGACAAAATTAATTCTTTTATGATGCACATACTTGCATATCCCTTTGATAAGATTAACTGCATAAAATAACAAAATGCATCATAAGTAACATAATACCTTGAAAACAATTATCCTAAACAAAGGTGTAATTAATAGATGGTTCTTGTTTGTGATACTTTTTGTTTTAAACAAAAAAATGTTTTGTTGAGCAACGTCATGATATCATGAAAAACAAAACATAAGAGTAAATAATAAAAATGAGCATTAATTCATCAGCTGAAAAAAAAAGTAAATAAAAAAATTCAATTTACATCAAATTTACTTAAAAAAAAAAAAATATTTAAACAATGCAAAACATTTAAATTAAAATTAATGAGAATACCACAAAAAAAAAAAAAAAAAAAAATTTAATTTATGCAAAACATTTAATTAAAATTATTTTAAATGCCACAAAAAAACTTTTAATTTATGCCAAAAAATTAATTAACCAAAGAAAACATTTAATTTGTATCAAACATTTGATTTATTACACACAAAACTAAAAATTTAAAAGTTATTTTAAATTAAAGAAAACTGTATTTAGTCAATTGTGCAATAATTATATCTTATTTATTATGCAACAAGAATGTAAAATTAAACTCGTTTACATGACACTTATATAAGTATGTTATATTACAGTTTTTAAAAATCCAATTGTTGTTTTTTAGTATTTTTAGTTTTATAGCTAAACAATAGTTCAATAACACAATAATAAACAATATTTCCAACAACAATAATACTAACAACAACAACTTAAGATGATAAACAATACCAATGATAAATTATTATGACCAATAATAATAACTTAATTAAAATATTTTGAAAAATTTTCAAAATTATTATTTATAAAATCTTTTAAATAATAAATTTAAACAACATCAACAACATGCATTTTGTTAATATCAATTAATTAACATCATTTAAAATAAAAATACAATCATAATCTTAGAATTTAATACCAATCATTTATATTAGGCTTGTGTATTTAAAAAACCTATAATATTGAACAATAGGAAACAAACACCTTTGTTATTGGCACCCACATATAAGTATGTGCATATATATATATATACATATACTTATACACACACATACTTATATGTATACACACATATACACACATATACATACATGTAAATATATATATATATATATATATATATATATATATATATATATATATATATATATATATATATATATATATATATATATATATATATTATATATATATATATATATATATATATATATATATATATATATATATATATATATATATATATATATATATATATATACAGACACATATTAAAAAACATTTACAAAATAGTAATAATAAAAAAAAAAAAAAGGAACACAATATTGTATCACTAATACTTATTATTAAAAAAAAAAAATCACTGCAGAATCAATTTGCGCAAATTAAAAAGAAATTCTTTCTAACATACTTTAGCAGCTTACTGTAAAAAAGATTACTCACTAATAATTATAATAAAAAAATATGGCTAAAAACAAAAATTAGAATTGGGATATTTTATAAATTCATCAATATAACTATATGATACAAACTTCAATAAAATGAATAAACATATTAGAACTATAAAATAAGTTTTTATTAACATTAAAAAAAAAAAAAAAACATAAAAGATAAGTTGCTATTATGAAATATCAGTGACATCTTAAACAGCAGTAGCAACATGCTTACTAAATCTTAATACAAAAATCCCTGTGTTGTCAATAACAGCTTTATAAACAAAAGACATTAAGGAAGTTGCTGGAGTCACTTTATAATAAATCTTTATCCAAAAAACATATTAAACAAAAAAAAAAGGAAAAGAAAAAAAACTAATAAAAAAAGATAAATCAACTCTTGTCCTGTGTTGGTACACATTTATACATATATATATATATATATATATATATATATATATATATATATATATATATATATATATATATATATATTTATATATATATATATATATATGTATATATATATATATATATATATATATATATATATATATATATATATATATATATATATATATATATATATAAATATATATATATATATATATATAATATATATATATATATATATATATATATATATATATATATATATATATATATATATATATATAATATATATATATATATATATATATAATATATATACACATATATATATATATATATATATATATATATATATATATATACACATACACACATATACACACACATACACACATATATGTATACATAGGTATGTATATATATACATATATATGTATATATATATATATATATATATATATATATATATATATATATACATATATATGTATATGCATATATAATAATACATATTTACATCAAATATTTCTATTTTAATTTTATGTTCATTAAAAAAATAAAATGAAACATGTAGATATAATTTTTGATAATAAATTTATGTTTTACATTTTCTGTTTTATTTGTTTGTAGAAATAACAAAAAGTAAATAACGATATTAGAACCTAAAATAATAAAATTACCAGAGTTTGTTAGCCAGAGCTAAGACTTAATATATAATAAATTATGTAAGTTTTAATTAAAGGTAAAATATTTATAGGATCTATTAATAAAATGGTTTTCGGCTAATACTTGTCTGAGAATGGAATAATTTTACCAGATATTAAACCTAGTTGTTTAGTTGTGTTAGCATGTGTCTATGTATTTGGGGCCTATACATCAGAGTTTAAATTCAAATATTCCAAATTTTTACCTGGACTGTAATCAGGGTGCTCACACAAATTCAGAAACTTTCAAAATCATGTAGAAAGAAAAACAAGAGGTGCAGGCACTACAAAAACTACTGCTTTTGTAGTGCCTGCAGGTTCTTTTAGAAATATCAAAAAGTAAATAACTATAATAGGTGCTAATATATTTATTTATTTTTGTTTATTTCTGCATATTTAATTTAACATTTTAAAAATAAAACAAAATAAAATAAAAATAGAAAATGTAAAAAATAAATTAAATAAAATCAGAAAATGTAAAAAAAAAATTCATAATCCAAAAATTATTATATGCACATGTTTTATTTTATTTTTGTAATGAACATAAAAAATAAAATAAAATAACTGATGTAAATATATATTACTAATATATTATAGTGGTTACAATAATAAGTTAGGAATACTTTACAGGAATCTGAAAATTTCATATTTATTCCCTATGGAGTTTAGAGGTTTTAGAACATTTTGGGAACTTCAGGACTTTTAAGTCCAGGCAAAAATAGTGAATGTTGGACTATGTTTGACCTATTGATACCTTTTTTTTAAAACCAGATGCATAAATATTAGGAATAAAAAAAAAGAAAATTTACAAAAACTAACAAAAAAATATCAAGATAAATTTCTAAAAAAAAAGTGCTGTTTTTTTTTTAAATATATCTTGACAGACACAGAAAAAAACAATGCAAAAAATGTTGACAAGTATTCTTTTAGAAAACTTTTTTGGTAGAGCCTGTTAAATTTGCAATATCAAGTTCAACTCTTAAAGCAAAAATAGTTTTAAATTGAATACTAACTGCAAAATAAACAAATAAACAAAACAAAACAATCAACAACAGATATGACCAAATTAACAATAGATATAAAAATATTTTAAAAAAACTTGAAAAATTTAATTATTATATATGTATATAAATATATATATATATATATATATATATATATATATATATATATATATATATATATATATATATATATAAATTTATTTAATCTCATCAAATAAATTTATATTAAAACTGAAACTGAGGAAGAAACTTAATTAATGGTGGTGATCGTGGTGTTGGTGATGATGATGATGATGGTGATGGTGATAATGATAATGTTGATTATTGGTCCTTTTAAGTATAGGAAATAAGAAATCTTTATTAATCCATAGTTAAACAAACATAACACAAAAGAGTTTAAAATAAAATTCACCATGAGCAACATTACCAACAATCTTTTATTAAGAAAAAAAATAACACAGACAAAATAAAACACATTATAACCTAACATCTATACACAAAAAAATATGTTAAACTTATAATAAAAAAAAATTTTACTGAAACTTTTATGAAATACAAACAACATAATATGCATAAGTAGAAACATAAACAGTTCAAAACACAATCTTTTTATGTTTGTTATGTGCAAATAAACACTTAATTCATATAAAAACCAAAACAAAGACTTTAAACAATTTTTTACATGTTGACTACAATGTTGAAATATTTGTATTTTATGTTTTTATGTTTTGTAATGTAGTTATGTCTTACACTTTAATTTAATCAGTTTTTAAAAGATTTATTAATTTTATAAAAACTGGAAACACAAAATATACAGAACTTGTTTGTACAGAAGTTTTTCTATATTTTTATAAGTGCTGTTTTATTATTTTTGAAAGTCTCATGAATTTTTATGCTTCACATAAACTCATACTAGGAATCACATAAAAAATTTGTTTCACACATATTCATACAATTTCTCACATATATTCCTGTATATCTCACATATATTCCTGTATATCTCACATGTATTCTTTCAATGTCTTACATAAATTCTTACTATATCTAGAATATATTTTTCAAAAGTCTCACACCATGTATTACTACGTTTCACATTTCAAATGTGTTTATTGTGTCATAAATGTGCCATAAATGTTGTTATTTTGGTTTACATATATTGTTACAATGTCTTACTGATACTATTACGATGCAGGAAGCAACAATATATAAGTTATTATGTGTTACTACATTTAATTCATGTTTTTTTACTGGCTTATTTTTAATCCTACAATGAACTAGTGTTTAAATTTATGTTTATTTAAGTTATTATGTTAGCAATATATAATAAAATAAAAATATAAACTTATAAATAGTAAATGACCGGAGCTGGTATCTGAACAGGGCCAAAGCCGGGTTTATGGCTGGGGCTGTATAAATATTGGTGCATATTGATATGATATATAAAAACAAGTCAATAAGCACCAATCTTTATGCAGTCCTGCGTCCTCTTTATGCGTAGAACCGGTCTTGGCTACAGTCAAATACCAGCCCCCGTTGTTTACTACCTATAAATTTGTGTCATAAACTCTAGAATCAATACAAGAAAAACAACTGTTTTTAAAAGTGACCTCACTTTTCATTACTAATACAAATAATTTGATTAATATAAATAATTTGAATATATAAATTTATTACAATATTAAGTGATTATAGGATATATCTTAATTACATACTATAAACACACGTTATAAATATATATTATCAATAGGGCATAAATATTATAGTACACATTATAACAACAAATTTGCAATAATCCAATAAATACACTATTATTTTTAAAAATAATTATACTCTAGTTACAATAGAGCTGAAAACCTATTACGAGAGTCACGTCGTATACTTAGAGTACGCCTTCTTTGCATTTTTTCATCAGATGTCTCTTTATTACGAAACAATGTAGGTGATTTATGATACTGTTCACTTTTTATAATACTATCTTTTTTTTCATCATAAATATATCTTCCACTATATTGTAAACTTTTTAAGTCCTCAGAATTGCCAATGAATTTTGATTCTTTTATTAGGCTGTCCATTATTTCATTTATTTTGATTCCTGTAACTGTGGATACATCATGAGTTACATAAAAATTCTGCATGAGTGATTTTTTCTGAAGTCGTTCTTTTTTAGATTTACGCAGTAGGTCTGTTTTATTGCGTACTACAATAATTGGAATTTCAGTATAGTGCTTATTTTTTACTTTTGAAATAATTCCACGGAGTTCATTGACCCGAATGAAACTTTCTTTATCATCACAAGAATAAACGAGCATAAATATATCAGCTCTCTGAATAAATATATCACGCATTTTTGGAAACATATCAGTTCCTCCAAAATCCATAAACTCCATTGTAGTATCATAATCATCAACTAAAACTTTTTCTCTATAAATATCATAGCAAGTGGGAATATTTTTAAACAAATCTTGGTTACAACAAAGTTGTTTTATAACAGATGTTTTCCCAACACCACTTTTTCCCATAACTAAAATCTTTACTGTTTTTTCTTTTCGCATTTCTCGCTTTTCCTTTCGAAATATTTCTTTAATTAAATTCATTACATTAAAATGCATACCGACACAATATTATTACAGTGTGTATGGCTAAAATTATGCAAAAAATATTAAATATTTTACTTTAGTTAATAGCATAACTAATATCACAATGTGAAAAAACAAAAATGCTAGTATTCCAGGAGAAAAAAAAAACTCCCAAAAAAAGGACACTCTGAAAAACAGGTGGTTGCTTTTCTTTTTAACAGTTATGATAGCTTATTTAAAAAAAAAATTGTTTTTATGATAATTCATATCTGGATACCATAATTCAACCCATTTAAAATATGCAGCCCTTCTAAGATGAACACTTAAAATAAAATAAAAATATTTCATAAAGAAACAATTTACATAAAATGATATCACTAACTAATGAATTGAATATTCTAACTAAACATTTAACAAAAACTAAAAAATTAAGCAGAAAAAAACATATCCGTAAAATTTTTTACGAATTTAATTTTTGACATAATTTTTATCACCGTTTGCTTACACCTAACTGAATAAAACTTTAAAAATAAAACAAGAATTTTTATAATAAAAGACGGCTTAATAGGATTAAATTTAATAACAGCAAAATCATTAAGCATAATCATCAGTACAAAAAATTAAGCAAAACTTTATATAAAAAAATGCGATTACAATATTCTACTAAATACTAAATTGTATGAAAAGTTAAAATAACATTAATAGTTATAACACTTATAATATTACAATACATTTAATATATAATGTAGTATATATAAGCATATATATATATATATATACATATATATATATATATATATATATATATATATATATATATTATATATATATATATATATATATATATATATATATATATTATATATATATATTATATATATATATATATATATATATATATATATATATATATATATATATATATATATATATATATATATATATATATATATATATATATATATATATATATATATTAAGCACTATTTAAAGTATATATTAGATAAAACCTACTATAAAATATGAGTATAATTTAAAATATAAAATATTTATGAAGTTCAAAACAACACTAAGAAAAACTTTTATTATTAAACACAACTATAATGTAGTATATTTAATATATAATATAGTATATAATTAAAATAGTGTGTGTGTGTGTGTATATATATATATATATATATATATATATATATATATATATATATATATATATATATATAATATATTATATTTACAAACATTGTATTCATTATATTATTAAACTTGAAATACTAATTCAATACAAAAAATCTTGAAATTATTTTGAATTTTTAAGTAATCCATAAGCAATAACCTTTAGAAATTTTATTAAATATCCTGCCTAGTTTCAAGATGATTTCAAAATCATATTTTAAACACTACAAAAAGAACTAAATATGAATAAAGTTGGTTTCATATTTAAGTGTCCTGTGATAATTAATAGTCCTTACATGCCCACACAGTTCAAAACAAATTATAAAAGAAAGGAACAGGATGTTGATAATTCCTTTTAAAAAAGGGCTTAAACTCACTTACAGAAAGCAAAAGGTCTTTGCTCTTTTCTGCCAATTTAGTATCTTCAGCTGAATGGCTGTTGGAAAGCAGAAAGTTCTGAAACAAAAAAATAACTAATTAGTAATTATAAAAATTAATACTTAATTATATAATTACATCAGTAACAAATTACATTACATAAAAAATATATTATGTAAAAGCAAATAATTATATAATTAAAAAAGTAATGTTGTATAATATATAATAAAATATTACATAATAAATATATAATTTTATTATCTAAGATAAAATAAACTAAGAAAAACTTTATTTTACTATGGATCACTTAAAAACCTAATAACTGTTAAACTATTTTTTCTCTATTTCACAAGTATATTAAAAAAAAACAAAAAGACAATAAATGTTTATTTCAAAAACTTGAAACAACAGAGGGAGTAGTTATAACCATCCTTATAAATTATGTATTTATTTGTTCAATTATTTCATTGTCTATTTTTTTCTTTATTAAAATCATATTTGAATGAGCTATGACATCAACTATCCACAAGAATTTTCAAGAGCATAACAATAATCTAATTAGCTATTGTGGAGTATGTGTGGTTTGTGTTAACATTTTTTAAATGCAACATTATTCAACAACTAATTTTAATTTAGTTGGAGTATGCAACAACTGCTGAGAAAAAAAAAACTCCTTCCCACTTCTTTCTTTTATTTATAAATTTGTTTAAATGCAATGAAAATTTATTTGAATAAATCTAAATTTTCTCATTAAACTTTTAATATTTAATGAGAAAATTTAGATTTGTTTTTTTTATTGAACACTAGTTTCATTTATTCAAATGATAGAATAACTTCATTAAACCAATAGAAAAGTTTGATTCAATTCAAAATGATAAAACAGTTTCAATAAAATAACCATTAAAATAGTTTGATAAAAAATAAAACAATTTCAACTCTCAAGTAACCAATAAAATGATTTGATAATTAAACAATAAAACAACTTCAATTCTCAAGTAACCAATAAAATGATTTAACCAATAAAACAATAAAACAGTTTCAACCAATTGAACTTTTTAGAAAATTTTAAATATAAAACAACTGAATATTTTTTGTCAGTTTAAAAACAGGTTTTCAAAACCAGACATCAGATATCTTTATAATTTTACAGTTTAGATTTTAGAAAGAACTCATTAAGAATGTCTCGCCTATTGCAATCTTTTTTATATTTTAAACGTCAAAGGTTTTATATCCTTTTGTATGCTGAAAGTAAAAAAACTATTTAAGTCAATTAATAAAAAAATAAAAAAATTAAAACTAAGTAAATAATTATAATAATAATTACAATAATTATAAATTTTTAATAAGCAATTATTTTATATACAAGACTAGTATCAAGTAGACAACTATTTAAACCTTTTGCTAAAGAAGTTATCAACATCGGATGTATTTTTAATCTGATAAAATATATTTTATCAGATACCAAAAATAAAAATAAAAATAAAAAGGAGACTTCACTTAATAAACCATGAAATTATTAACAATGACTACAAAACATATTTTGAACTCTCTCTCTCTCTCTCTCTCTCTCTCTCTCTCTCTCTCTATATATATATATATATATATTATATATATATATATATATATATATATATATATATATATATATATATATATATATATATATATATATATATATATATATATATGTATATATATATATATACATATATATATATATATAGTTAAAAGAAAAAACCGCAGATGCACCTGTGGATTTCTGAAAAGTTGGTACTTATCTCTTCGATTAAGAAACACTAACAAATTTTGGGTATCTCTTGTCCAATCCAAAACTGTTTGTAAGACATTCTCGTGATCTTCCATAATGCGTTCTAAAAAAAAAGTTTTTAATGCAAACATAAAATGTAATTACAAAAATATATAGTAAACAAAATATACAGTATACAAAAGTATAAAATGTAATAGTATTAAAAAAAATATAATATTTAATAAAATATAAAGATAAAAAAAACTCAATATTTCAGCAATTTTTTCTTCTTTTAGAAAAACAAAACAAAAAATAGAAATTTAAATAGATTGAAAACTTGTTTTTTATGTCTAACCACTAATCCATGTAGTTATAAATATAATTTTACTTGTGGTATTTTAATTAATTTAATCTTTTCACTTAATCTAGTTAATGTTTCTAACAATGTCTAAATTTTCTATTTCACTTGAAACTTATTTTTTGATGTCATCTTGTTATATGTAGTTTTAAAAACATATAAAACATAAATATATAATTATAAATGCTAATATCAATTAAAAAATTACATTATTTAATTTAAAAAATTACATATTTAAAACTATGACAGTTTTTTTTTTAAGTTATAATAAAACATTAAAAGTTTTCAAGTTTTTTATTATGATTAGATTACATAATGCATGATTGCTATTTAATAAATATTGAAAAAAATGAATTTTTCTTGTAAAGTCTACTAAACTCTTCACTATTGAAAAAATAATTTCTTTGTGCAAATACTTGCACTAGGTTTTTTGCAAAGAAGTCTCTTAAATAAAAAATAGACTAGGCCCTATTTGTGTATAATTACTACCTAATGCATAGTGACCTACTTGACATTACTTAAGAAAAGTTTCTTTATGGAAGTCTAGAATAATGATTCATGATCATGTTACAATTTAATTAATTTAATTGTATTAATTTGTGATCATGATACATGGTAATAATTTGTGATCATGTTACATGGTAATAATTTGTGATCATGATAATTTCATGGTATTAATTCATGACCATGATCCATGGGTATTAATTCATAATCATGTTACATGGTATTAATTTGTGATAATGTTACATGGTATTAATTTGTGATCATGATACATAGTATTAATTCATTGTCAGGATAAATAGCCACATTACATGGTTTTAGTTCAATTTTTCAAGCTCAATCCACTAAAAATAACCCAGGATCATATACCTTAAAATATATAATGCAAAAATTAGGCAAAAAAGGTAAAAATTCAATCAATAATACTGAAAAATGGTCATATGTTTCCAATATTAAAAAATCAAAAACATTAAAAGTAAGAAACAAACAGTTATTTCTTACTGACTTCATTAATTTTTTTTATGCAGTATAACCAAGTTTCACGCACTTTTCCTTGTTGTTTCCCTTAAATCCTCATAAATAAAAACCATTTCCTTATTTAAGAGGAGTTTCACAGATGCATATGTCTGTTTGCCAGCCACCTTGGTGAATATAAAAATTTAAAAAAATTTAAAAATCTAAATTCCCTGATTTTTGTTGATTGTATCTGAATTTTTTCTGATTTGGTAGCAACCCTGTCTAAAACAACAATATTAACAGAACAACATAATGATAAAAAACAACAACAGAACATCATGATATTGCTTTATTGTTGTTTTATAAATCATTTTATAATAATAATTTACAAAGGTAAAATAAAATTTATTTTACTGTTATGATTCTTTTAAATATATATAAAAAGCAATTTAAGGGGGCTCATAGGGAAATTGAAAAGCCCTATTGCAAATTTAAGGAGCTTTTTTTTTTAAAAAAAAAGTATTACCTAGTGGGAAAATTTTTGGGGGCCCAATGGCAGGGTTTAAATGAGGGGGGACCTCTGACCCAATAGCTATGCCACTGCTTGAAATTCATATAGAGTAAACAAGATTTTTTTCTCAAGCCATTTCTTTCACTATCTGAACAAAACCTTTATCATCTTCATAACGCTTGATTATATCATAAATAGTCGATTTGGTTGCTTTTTTAGCTAAAAAATGATCAACTGTGTACTTATTTCCTTAATTCATATTCTTTTCACAAAACTTGTTTTCTTAAGAGCTCTTTTGCAGACATGGTTTAGAACTTTTAAAATAATTATACATAATTATTTTAAAACATAGACAAAATATGTATTTTTATAGTGTGTTAAATCTAGTTTATTAATAAAAACCACATAATTGTACATGTGCCAGAAATGCTTGAATTATTTCAAATCAAAGTCATTTTAGATAATTACTTCACCCATTAATTAATTATTTAACCTAAATATATTTTGTACTAAAAGTTTATTTTTAAAGTTTTTTTTTGTCCAGTTAACAAAACTCAAAATTATAACTTATTTGAATTTTTAAGTCATTCTTATGAAAAGTAACTCTAATTTTACTTTAAAAACATTCAATACTTCTACTTTCATCAACTATTTTGTAATGCATCATGAGGATAGGGTGGGTAACTAACTAAAAATATCTTCCTTAAGGAAAAAATATTTATTGTATTTGTATTTAAACAGAAAGTTTGTTAAAAAGAATCATACAACTATAAAAAAGTTTAAATTCATTATTATAAATTATTAAATAATAATATTAATAATAATAATTATAATAATAATTATAGGTATAAGCTGCAGCTAAAAGTGGAGTTGGCCAAAACAATAAGGCCAACTATGACAGCTGAATTGTACATTTATATTATTTTGATGAGGGTTTTATAGCCATTTTTAAATGTGCTATTTGTTTTAGAGATTTTGATGCTTTTTTGATGTTAAGTTTTTTCTAGCAGTTTATTCCAAGTGACAACTACTTGACTTATAAAGAAATGTTTACTATGGTGACAGTTTTGATTAACTGTTTGATAAGCCACTCTTTGTTCTTTCTAACTGCATCAGCAGGACCAGGACAGTATATTTACACAAATGGACAGTTATTTATAGTATTTATAGTTATTTAACATACATAAATAACTATTGAATTTTAATATTACTTTTATAAATAAAAAGTAAAATGCATTAATTTGATTGGAGAAATATTGAGCAAAAATAAAAACTTGCATTGATTTAGCATATAAAAGCATACTATAAAAGAATAATAAATGATGACTAAATAAAGCTCTTACCCATACTCAGGCCAGGTAATTTTTCAAGAATACACCAATTTGGACCAACTTCAACATCATCTTTACTCATCATTTTTTGAACAAGGTCTCGAGCAGACCATGTTTGGTCTATTGCCCAAGTTTTTGATGTTTTTAAAGGCTCATTGAAGACTTTGACGAACAGCTAAACAATTTAAAAATAAATTGAAAACTAAAACAATATTTTTTTAAAAATTAGGGAAGTAAATATGTGTTGAAAAACACTTATTTACCACTCTAATGCCTTGGGACCACCACTACAATTACCTCCCAGGAGACTACCACTACAGTTGAGGTTACTAATTTTTTCTATATATTTTAAAACTCTTTTTCAATTTCATAACTCTGAAACACAAGCAAAAAAAAAAAAATTTTTTTCAAGATAAATGAGAATATATATATATATATATATATATATATATATATATATATATATATATATATATATATATATATTTTGCATTTATTTAGGTGCTCTCAGAAGTCATTACAGTCTTATCACAGAGTGCAGCAGGAGAGCAATTAACTAAAAGCTCACAACTTCTTCTGCTCTTATGTCGCTTGTTGGGCTAGAGCCGGTATTGAATATGGAACCTCTGAGTGCCAGAACTCGAACTACTGTGCCATGGCTGCTCATAAAAGTTAATGATCAAATTAAATGATCAGAAATAAAAACTTAAAAGAATTCTAGATAAAGACTTTTATACTAATTACTTTGGTCAAGACTATCAAAAAATACCATCAACTTGGGAAACAAATACCCTCAAATTGGAAAACAAAACACAAATCAATACATCTATTTAATCAGATTAAATCAATTTGTAGGACCCTATGTTTGTATCAATAAACAAATTACATTTATGTTATAAATTTGTAATAAAAAAAGTATTTATAAAACAAATCAATATTTAACAAATATTTACAAAAAGTTTTTAAACTATATACTTTTTGAACATTTGCAGCTTTCATTTTCTCAAGTGCTATTCTAATTTTTTCACTTTTTAACTTGGCTTCTTGTTCTTCTATTGACAGTTCTTGTGCTACCATGTCAGTTTGAAGACTTTCTAATCTTACTTTCACATCATAAATAACCTTAAACAAAAACGCAAAATTAAACAATAAGCACATTAACTAATAATAGGTTAATATATATACAAAAAATACAATAATAAAATTAGATATGAAAAACAATGAAAAAAATTGAAAAACAAAAAAAAACTCATTATTTTTTGCCTTTTAATTGCAAAAATAAATAATCAGAAATAAAAACTTGATAGAAAAAAAATTTTGACATAAGTTTTTAAATGTTACCGATGAGTTGGAACTGTTTGATTGAACCAACTTTTTCTCTTCATTACAGGTCATATTGTTTTTTTTAATATTAGAAGAATTTGTTTCAATATTACGCTCCATAGCACACAAATCTTCCAGCAAAGCATCCAAATCAACTTCAGGAGCTTCTAAAATTATTACATTCAATTAAAATTAGTAATTGCATTATTACAGGGTTGTTAATATATTCCGCTCAGTTTAATCGACACACAATAAAAAAAGTGTAGTATAATGAGACTTTTATTTATGCTATAATAAATTTCCTTAGATACTGGTTGCTAATTCCTCGGTCCTAAAACTCTTGCGGTCAGCCATTTAATGACACCATCAGTTACATTTTATGCAAAACTAAAAAACGACCTTTAACTACTCTCAAAAATTTAAATGCTTGGACAAGAATTGAGGAGGAAAAATAAACGAAATGAGGAGGGGAAATTTATTTAATAAATTCTTATTAATCTTAAGTAAATAAAACTTGAACTAAAGTCCTTGAAATAAAGATTTTCAAAAAATTTCAAACAGTTTTCGCTATTAAATTAAAGATCTGAGTTTTGAAAACCCAGTAGTACATTCCACATACCAGATTTAAAAGAAAATACCTAAGATTTTAAGTGTTAACAAAACAATTGAAAAAAATATTTTCACTGAAAATATCTTTAAGCTTTTAGACTGATGTAGCTTCATGGAAAAAAAAACTGAAAAATTCATCAGGTAAATATAAAAGTAAAATAAAAGTAAAAAATTGCATGCATTATAACTTGCATTATAACTTGCATTGCATTATAACTTGCAATACAAACTATGATGCAGCAGATAATTTTACGTTTTTAATTTTATTTTTTCAAGCATTTTTGTTATTACAAGCTGATAATCTAATTATTGTAAGCTGATAATCATTCTAGAAAATATAATAAAATGTAAAACCTGAAAATCAAAACTTTGAAATCATCTTTGCTAACAGGGGCAAGGATGAGTTAATGTTGCAGTTTCTTTTCCAAAATAAATAACAACCAACTTTATATTAAAAGCACGAAAATATTTATTACTTAATTTCAGATCATTTTAGCATGAGATTCTTGTTTATTTAAAATTTATATGAGATTCTTGTATATTTACTTTTTAAAGAGAAATTTAAACAAATTTTCAAAAATTCAGATCCTGTATGAATCCCATAAGTATTCACTTTAAATATTTTATCTTGAAAGTCTTCACCAGACCTGGATTATTTTAAAATTAGGTTATCTGTTTTTCACTTGAGAAATTTTATAGACCTTAGATTATTGATAGAAAATTGTACCTTCAATATAGTCTTAAGTACCTCTCTTATCTCTATATTAAAAAATTCTCTTACATTAAAATACTATTACAAAATAATAATAATAATAAAATAATATAAAATAAATAAGTTTGTATCATGTAATGCTAGTGATGAAGTTTGTAAAAACACCTATAAAAGCAATCCAACATTTTTGCCATTATATATATATTTTTTTATTTGCATTTACTCCCAACAAGGCTGCAAGCAACCACTATTAAGTTGGGAGTTACTAGGAGAAAAAAAAGAACAGAGTTATAGAGCAAGGAAACGGTTGACAGAAGACTTGAAAAGTTGAAGGTTGTATGAGTCAGGAAAACATGAAGATGGGAGAGAGTTCCAAAGAATTGAAGTGCGGGGAAAAAAACTAGATGAGTAAAAGTTTTTAGAGCATGCAGGGACAGATACAGAAAACGAATGAGACTTAGCTGAATGACGAGTAAAACGAGAATGAATTTTAGTTGATGGAGCTAGAGATGATAACTCCTTTGAGCAGTGACCATGATAGTATCTGTAGAAAAGATAAAGAGATGCAACTTTACGACGATGGGAAAGAGGTTCAAGCTTAGCAGATAGTCCAGGTCCAACAACATTTACAATGCGTTTTTGGACCTTGTCAAGAAGAGAGAGAGTGAATCGTTAGAAGAACCAGCCCAAATATGACAACAGTATTCCATACAGGGACGAATAAGAGATTTGTAGAGGTAGAGAATGGAATCAGAAGTAAGGAAATGGCAAGCACGATAAAGAGAAGCAACCTTAGCAGAAGCTAATTTAGCAATCGATTGTATATATGGTTTCCATGAAAGGTCAGTAGTAAGCGATAATCCAAGAAGACGTAAAGAGGACGACTCAGTAAGAGGATTGCCATTCATTAATATAGGAATGTAGACCATATTACGGTAGTTGTTTGCAGTAAGCAATTGGGTTTTTTTAGAGTTGAAATTCACAAGCCACTGTGAACCCCAATCTATTACTGAAGTGAGATCAGATTCAAGATCAGCTGCTTGTTCTAGGCGATCGAAAAGAGAAGACTTTTTGTCAAGACAGGAGTATAAAGTTGAGTCATCAGCAAAAAGAGCTACTTTAGATGAAAGGTTGTCAGGAAGATCGTTTATGTAGATAAGAAACAAAACAGGGCCCAGGATGAAACCTTGGGGAACCCCAGAAGTTACTGGAAATAAAAAAGAGTGTTGGCCTTCAAGGATGACTTTAATAATCCGGTCAGAAAGAAATGATTTGATAATCTCAAAAACTTTCCCAGAAACACCACATGAAGCAAGCTTATGGAGAAGACCAGCATGCCAAACTTTGTCGAAAGCTTTAGATATGTCGAGAGCAATAGCCCTAGCCTCACCACCTCCATCTAATGCACGATAAAATCTTTCAGTTACAGCAGTTAGCAAGTCGGCCGTAGAGCAAGAGGATCGAAAACCGTATTGATTGTCTGACAGCAGTTTATTTGACTCAAGATGAGATGTGAGGAATTTGTTGATTAAAGACTCAAAGACCTTGCTAATAACAGAAAGAAGACTGATCGGACGATAATTGGAGAGGTCAGAATTTTCTCCAGAGTTTTTGAATATTGGAACCACAGATGCCATTTTCCAACAAGCAGGAAAACAAGACTCAGTCAAACACTTGTTAAATAGTTTAGAGAGAATTGAAGAAAGTTCTGGAGAACAATTCTGCAAGACTGTGACAGGAATGTTATCTGGACCACAAGCTGTAGACGAGTTTAATTGAGATATGACTTTAGCAACAGAAGCTGGAGTGATTTGAATGTCTAACAATGGGTCAACCTGTTTGACTGGAATGGAAGGAAGAGAATGTCCATAAGATTCAAGAGTGGAATTAGAAGAAAAGTTCTTTGCAAACAGTTCTGCCTTATCCCTGGGAGAGGTAACAAGATCAGTCCCATGAATGAGAGATGGAATGTTAGATCTACCCTTGTTAACAATGCTGTTGAAGATTTTCCAAAAGTCTTTAGAGCCTAACTTCTGCGATAAGATGCGAGATTTAGTGAACTGAGAATAATGGAGTTTAGCATCAGAAAGCACCTTTTTACATCGATTTCTTGCAATAATAAATAGCCGTTTGTTCTCAAGAGAGTTGTTCTTTTGAAAAAGATGAAAAAAATGGTTACGATTGGATATAGCAGCCGCACAAGAAGGAGAAAACCATGGAGTAGAATGAGGCTTGACTTGAAACCGACGAGAAGGAATAAAAGCTTCCATTCCAGCCTGAATCCAGGAGGTTACGTAGGAGGCACATTTGTCAGCTGAGAGAGAAAAAACATCAGCCCAAGGACCATCACGAAGATATACTTTTCTTCATTAAAATGTCGCTAAGTAATAAGTGTGCCAATACTTCTTAAAATAATTTTCAATTTATTTTTAATGTATCTTACGATAATTATTAGCAAACACTTCTTTTTATGTTCAGTACACAGCTAAAAAGAACTCTGATAGAAAGGATACCTAATGAAGATGAAAAAAAAGTAACCTACTTGTGTATCATTTGTAATAAAAGAATATAAAAATATATGGTGAAGAGCAGAATGTTAAGATACAAAGTTAGATTGTTATGTTATTCTGCAGTATGTTATGTTACGCTGCAGTATGTTATGTTATGCTGCAGTATGTTATGTTATGCTGCAGTAATTTGTCCCAGTAAATGTAAATGTTTCAGTAACTTGTTTTAATAAGATGTTACAGTAATGTATTCCAGCAATTTTTCAGTATAACAATGTATATATTCAAAAGACTTGAAATAATTTTCAAAAGACTTGAACGAATTTAATAACTCTTCTAATTCCACTCTTGAATCTTATGGACATTCTCTTCCTTCCATTCCAGTCAAACAGGTTGACCCATTGTTAGACATTCAAATCACTCCGGCTTCTGTTGCTAAAGTCATATCTCAATTAAACTTGTCTACAGCTTGTGGTCCAGACAACATTCCTGTCACAGTCTTGCAGAATTGTTCTCCAGAACTTTCTTCAATTCTCTCTAAACTATTTAACAAGTGTTTGACTGAGTCTTGTTTTCCTGCTTGTTGGAAAATGGCATCTGTGGTTCCAATATTCAAAAACTCTGGAGAAAATTCTGACCCCTCCAATTATCGTCCGATCAGTCTTCTTTCTGTTATTAGCAAGAGTCTTTGATCAACAAATTCCTTACATCTCATCTTGAGTCAAATAAACTGCTGTCAGACAATCAATACGGTTTTCGATCCTCTCGCTCTACGGCCGACTTGCTAACTGCTGTAACTGAAAGATTTTATTGTGCATTAGATGGAGGCGGTGAGGCTAGGGCTATTGCTCTCGACATATCTAAAGCTTTGACAAAGTTTGGCATGCTGGTCTTCTCCATAAGCTTGCTTCATATGGTGTTTCTGGGAAAGTTTTTGAGATTATCAAATCATTTCTTTCTGACCGGTTTATTAAAGTCATCCTTGAAGGCCAACACTCTTCTTTATTTCCAGTAACTTCTGGGGTTCCCCAAGGTTCCATCCTGGGCCCTGTTTTGTTTCTTATCTACATAAACGATCTTCCTGACAACCTGTCATCTAAAGTAGCTCTTTTTGCTGATGACTCAACTTTATACTCCTGTCTTGACAAAAAGTCTTCTCTTTTTGATCGCCTAGAACAAGCAGCTGATTTTGAATCCGATCTCACTTCAGTAATAGATTGGGGTTCACAGTGGCTTGTGAATTTCAACTCTAAAAAAACCCAGTTGCTTACTGCAAACAACTACCGTAATATGGTCAACATTCCTATATTAATGAATGGCAATCCTCTTACTGAGTCGT